TTGACAATGGAATCCGACTTCCCATGTTTCAAGTCCTTCTATGAATCTGAGTTCGAGAAATTCAACAGTCGACTGTGGGTGTCAAGCTATCAAAGGCTAGTAAGGTGAAACCGGAGTGGAGGCTCATCCACCATGTGATTGCTAGATCCGTGGGTGGAAAGATCCGAAACAAAGGCAATTTGACCGCCCAAGACGCCACTTTCTTCCAATGCATGCACCTACCTCAATCTCTTCACCTCGGTTTTTCCATCTGGTCCATCTTCAAGCTATATGAAACAGATCATCGACTCACCTCCCTTCATGGAGGAGTTTTTGTCACGCGTCTTGCCTAGTATTTCCAAGTCGACTTCGGCGCCATACAATTTCGGTTGGATAGTAGGACTACTCATATATCCTTTGACGTCTCGAAGTCGAGAATCAAAGTGTTGCACATGAGTGGCGATAGCATTTAGAGAGCACGAGGACTTCCATTTCCAACTCCTAACACGTTGGACATGGAGGGTATCGTGTTCCGCCTTCTGGAAGCTACGGTGGTAAGAGGATGAAGAGGACTAGTCAACGAGAAAGAACAAGTGGGAAGCATGTACGAGGGAGGAGAGGCCCCTCCGTTCACTTCTCATCTGGTTCCCCCACCATTCAACAATGAAAGGGATTACCAAGTTGAAGCGATGATAGCGGCGATCCTTCACAACCAAAGGAGTGAGAAGGAAGCGCGACTCCACCTCATGGCGTGCATCCATGCTATAATGAAGAAGATGGAGATTCCGATTGAAGATGTATCACCCCAACTTCCTCGCTCTCCTCCCCTTGCACCATTCCAAGAAGAAGAAGGACCTTCCGAGGAGGATTGATTACTAGGCAAAGTAGTAAGGTGAGACTATTGAACAAAAGGGAAAAGATTCTAATCCAGGTCCCTTCTATTAGAATAGAGATGATAATTGGAGTTTTTAATTGTATATCTTGATTCAGACCTCGATTATATTTCCAGTAGTGAAGTATTAAGCAACGTCGCTTAATTGGATGCTATTTGTCACTGTTGAAAGGCTTCTCGTGAGATGAGATCACTAGCACGATGACCTTCCAACTTCTGACTGTAATATGGTTTATGACTAGGTCATGTTGAAAGTCAAGAGCCGTGAAATTCCAACTTATGGTTGCGTAACTCTCTGTTTTTCCGTGCTCTTTTTCTTAGATTTCACGGCTAAGAATGGGAGATGATGGTGGAGAAATCAAAATATGGTTATGATATTTTAAATTAAAATAAATTGCATATAATTGGTGAATGGTAGAAAATTTTAAAAGGTACATTTTTTATTTTTTAATAGTTTCATGTGTGAGGCAGAAAATATTAACTAACCCCAGTCCCTCCTGGCCTAGGTATTGATGACTTGATATATACACATGTTTTTGTCCACCATTAATATATCGTTTGAGTCTCATCTCTCATGTTTTAGGCTGATTTCACGCTAGGTTGTTCTTGTTTCTGATATTTCAGGTCCTAGTACGTGAAGGAAGGTTTGGGCACGAGTTCGGGGTCGATTGGACGAAGTTGGGACGTTTGACGAAAAGCTGGAAATTCCACAAGGGCATACCTAAATTCCACACGGTCGTGTGACTTGGCCGTGTGGAACCCTTTTGCGCGGGCAAGCCACACTGGCAGTGTAAAGGGCCCTTTTTGGCTGTGTGGAATTCCCAGGGAGTTCACACGGGCATACCTAAATTCCACACGGCCGTGTGGTTTTTGCCGTGTAGCGTACCTAGAGTCACTAAATCAAACACGTCATTTTGGCGAGCCACACGGGCATACCTAAATTTCACCACGGCCGTGTGGCCTGGCCGTGTGATCGGGTTGAACTGGGTTTTTAACCCAATTTTGGGTCTTTTGAAGGGGGAGTCGATTTTCAGAGCTAGAAACAGAGTCATAGAGATAGAAAGTGAGAAGAACACACCCTAGAGGTGATTTTGGAGCTGGGTTTCATCAATCAAGTTTGGATTTCATCCTTGGAGTGAAGATTATCATCCCAGAGCAGATTCTTCCCATCATGATGAGTATGGCTGCTTTGTATTCTGTTTTCCTCTCTCTCTCTCTCTCTCTCTCTCTCTATGGAGTAGAACCCTCTCTCACTTGGGTATGAAGAACCCTAGTTCCATGTGTTAGGGATATCGATTGTAATGACGTTTGGATTGTGATACTGCTTGATTATAATCGATTGAAGTGTTTTGATTGAGTCAATTGAAGCATGATCATCTTTTATTGATTTCTGCTGCAACCTGAGATAGATAGAATCTGATTAGGTTGTTAGAGCTCCTCCAATCGGTAGTAGTGAATCGATTATACGAGAGTTAGTCGATTCACTGCTTTGTACGGGAATCCAATTCCAGTAGTGGAGTTCTGTGTTAATTGCCTCAACGTTCTATCCGGTGAGGACTAGTCGTCTGCCGGGTAATCTGTCTGAGAGGGCTTGGTCAGCTTAAGAGATTCCAAGCTACTGTCGGATCTTCCGCAGTTTAATCAACAGTAAATCAACCAAAGATAATTACAACTTTGACATAACTAAGGAGCTAGGGGGACTCATTCCCGAGTGACTCTTCCCCTACTTAAGAACTTCGAACCATTTTCTGGTTTCTTACTGCTTTAGCTTAAAATCACATTCACTCAACTTAGTCTTGCTAGATAATAGATAATCACGGAGTAGATAGTAGATCTAGACCCCGGGTTGATAAATAGAACTTGCCACTATTCTGCATTTCCGGACTGCGATTACACTTGATCGCAATTTGGTGTTGTGTTTTAGCATGTTAGGTATAAAGGAAAATATGTTCCAAATGGGTCCTTTCTCATAGCAATGACATGCTCTTGATCCTCATGGGGTTCGCAGAGTATCTCTTATGGTCGCCATTTGCTTGAACAAGGTTTGCGCTGACATATTGGAAACGACCGGACGGTATCCATTTAGAATTCTAGTTGGGTTCCGAGGTTGCATCCAGTTGCCCCCTCATGTTACCCTAAGATGGTTCCAGAGGGGAGTGATCCAACAATTGCAGAGTTAATGTGGCTAGGGGAATGATGATGGAAAGAGGAGATACCCAATCACTTATTTCCGCCAGAGGTAGCGAGAGCTATCAAAGCATTCCCTCTGCCTCGACAGGATATAGAGGATTCTCTGATCTAGCATGATACCAGTGAGGGAGTGTTCACTGTGAAATCTGCTTATCATCTAGCGATCCTAATTGTTCGTGGGCAAGGCACATGGAGCTAGAGTGTCAAGGTTGATTCAGATATGGGACCACCCTATCCCTCCTAAGCTTAAAATTTTTCTCTGGCAAATTTGCAATCGCATCCTCCTTACCATAGAAGTTCTGATCTAGAAGAAGGCTCAAGTTTTACCCCGATGCCCTTTTTGTTGGGTTGACTCAGAGACTATGGAGCATCTCTTTTTTGACTGTCCAGTGGCAAGCGCAATTTGGGATCATGTCGGCCTTGAATCCCTAGGCCAAGGACTCCCTCGCCAAAACTTTCCCCTATTTCTCAAGAAGTTTATGTTACTGCTTAATCAACCCATCATAGTATGCTTGTTGTTGCGGCTCTCTGGCGGATTTGGAAATCCAGGAATTGGGCTGTCTTTGAAGGGAAACAATTCTGAATTAACTCTCTGATGCTGCAGTATCATATGCAAGTCCAGGAATGGATCGATCTACTAGATGATAGAGTGACTTCAACGGCACCCCCCAGTTTGAGAGTGCGACTGTTTCAATACTTGGCTCGGTTACTTGCATGTGAGATGGTGCAACAATGAGTGTATCACACTCGGCGGGCAGAGTGGTTTTAAAGGACCAGATTGGTTCGATTGTCATAGTTCGGGGAGTCCATATTGATTATATTGATAATCCACCAATAATGGAGCTATTAGTCCTTCGCGAGGCCATCAAGTAGTGTCTGGATTGTGGTCTCTCGCAGGTTTGGTTTGAAGGGGATGCGAAGGGGGTCATTTATAAGGTCAACTAGCCCGATAAGCAAGATAATCGCTTTGGAGTGAATCAGAATGGTCTTAGTGTACGATTTGTAGGTTAGAATAGCAATAGGGTAGGCCGCGTGCGGGCGGTGGATTTTGGAAATGGCGAGGAGGAGAGGAATGGGGGAAGTGGAAATGGAATCCGACTGCCAGGGTATCGTTCAGCAACTACGCCGAGAAGAGAGAAGGGAAACCGAGGTTGAGCTGATGTGCGAGGACGTCCGGATCAAAGCTCAGGCTTTGGGCTTGGTTCGGTGGTATTGGGTAGGCCGAAATAAAAACAGACTGGCCCATAAAATAGCCCACCTAGATTGCAATTGGGATAGTGAGGAGGTTTGGGATGATAATCCACCTCCTCAAGTACTTGTACCTCTCCTTAGAGAGGATGCTACTGGAAACTTTGCTACTATTGATTAATAAATGAATACAGTTTTCCTTAAAAAAAAAAAAAAATTGAGGGTATAAAATTAGTAATCCCATATCACCGCCGTGAAGCAGAATAATAAACCCAATCACCGTGGTGTCTCACTGTCTCTCGATTTCAATCGATTCTCCGGTTGAACAATCATAGTTCGAATCCACTTGGTCAGTTGACTGAACGACTTAAAGCGATGACAGGCCTGCTTGCAGTGCAGTGCAGCCCACAGAAACGATTCGTCGTTCCTTTTAAAAAATGGTGTGCTCGCCAGTTGTAAAATCACCATCCTAAATTTGGGGGAGAAAAAAAGAAACAGAATAATAGAAGGCAAATATCTGGGGAAATAGGATTTTAAATTATCCCCTCGAAAACGAGAAGAGACGAACACGCAACAACTGATTGGCAACAAAATATTTTCCTTTCGATATTTGTTGCTTTTTTGTCACGCTAAAAGCCTAAAACATTAAAACAGCAATTAATTAATTAATTAATTGTGATAATCAAATCAATCATCAACTCAACCAAACGAGCCTTTATCTATAAAATTCCGAAAACCCCTCTTTCATCTCCGTCCATCCGAACTGGCAGCAAACCTCAATCAAACGCCATTACATTGATCAACACAATCCTCGCCGGCTGGAAGAAATTGATTGTCCTCCTCCGCCTGTTCCCGTTACTGCCGCCGCCGCCGCAGTCCATGAGCGAAGGGAGATAGAAGAAGAAACAATGGTATGTGGAATCTCTGTTCAACTTCCCTGCAAATTGGGGGGGCGATTGTTTGTTTGATGGGCGGCGTTTGCGTTCCTAGCTTTTGTCGACGAAACTGAGAGGCCGCTTGGTTTGAAACAGGTGGCTGTGGTGGAGACCGCCGCCGCTAATCCCGTCGGTGGTGGCTGCGGCAACGAAGCGAATATGCTAAATGTAGCCATCCCCAGGCCACCGCCGGGAAATGATGCTGCGTGTACGACGGCGACGACGGCGCAGCAGGCGACGACTTCTCCTCCTCCTCCTTCGTCAATGGCGGATGAATTGTGCCATATTTCTTGTACTACTTTCAACATCTTGGCTCCTATCTACAAACGCCTCGACCAACAGGTATGGGAGATAAAAGACAGATTTTGATCGCTTATTCTCTTATGGCTTCGTGCTGAATCGGAATTCATTCTTGCTGTTCGGTCCACCAGAACCAAAGCCTCCGTGAAAGCGATTTCAGAGCTTTCTGGCTTTCCCGGAACCAGATGATTTTGGAGTGGTTGCTTATGGAAAGAACTTCCATCATATGCCTCCAGGTGATTAATGATTTTATTGACTTTTCTTCTATCTCTTCCCCCGCCGTTTCTCTTAATTTTGTTCTACAATGAATGGATCTGATATCGATTTTCTCTGACGTTGATTGGGCTCTTGCTCTTGTCCGTGCAAACAGGAATTCTGGACGGGAAATGAAGAACTTGTGCATATGTACGAGGACAAGCTCTGCGACGCTGGCTATTTCACCTTTCAACTTGCTAGAACGAACAACCGGGGAGATGGTAAACATTGTTTTTTTTTATCTCATCACAAGTTCAAATTTCCATTCCTTGTTTCAAATCCTGCACGCAAATTTGTTACTTAGCATCGTCCAACGCAGCCTTGGTTCGAACTTGGCCACCAAATTCCATCGATGGAAAAAAATGTCTAATTGTGGAAAGACTATGATGTTCCATATTGCATAATTGCTCGTCTTGGTTGCAGCTTAACGGAGATGCAAACCCTTAAGGATCGATTGAGTGTGAACTTGGAGAAGGAATTTTGTATGTGTTTTTGGCGGTCTCTCTATCCTACTCTCAATGGGATTCGCTTTTGCTTGTTTTGCTTGTTATCTGCCTGGGGATTTGAAGATATAGTTGATTGTTATGATCATCAGTCAACTTGTTTGATTCAGCTTCTCAAATTTGTTTCCCTAATACCCTTCTGAACTTTACCTTGAATTTTCAGGCTTGCTAATGGCAGTGCATAAGGACTACTTTAGGATTCTAAATTATCGGGAGTTGCTCTTTAATGATTTTGGAGACCGGGTTGCGCAGCTATTGCACGTTCAGTTGACAATACCCTCTTCATGTAATCGAAAAAATGACGCCCGACAAGAGCTCCTAATAGTCAACACACATTTGTTATTTCCTCATAATTCCAGTCTGTCCATAGCGAGGTTGCATCAGGTATTGCCAATTTCTCTTGACGTTTTTTGTTTTCCCATTTTGCTCTAGAACATTTATACAGTCCTAATTCTTGGGATGGTGCTCCTCAATCTCCATCCTAACATGGAGGCCTCATGTTTATGTGTCGGTAGGTCTATAAAATATTACAGTATGTGGAGACATATCAACGAGAAAACAAACTTGGTGGTGTGCCTGTCATTCTGTCTGGGTGAGTTTTGACTTTTGGTTTGCATTATTTAATGTTGGGGGAGCTTCGTGCACTCTCATATCAACATGATTTCTCAATTCTCATGGCTGTACTACTTTCTACAGCGACTGGAATGGAAGCAAAAGAGGCCGTGTTTATAAATTCCTTCGATCTCAAGGGTTTGTATCGTCCTATGACATTGCTCATAAGTACACGGACAGCGAAGATGATGCTCACCGGGTTAGCTCTAGAGTCCAAGTGGCTGCCTTCATTTCCTGACGAGTTAAGTAGTTGACTTGTTGCTTATCACGTCGCTTTTGCTCCTGTCTTTGACAGTGGGTGAGCCACAGAAATCATAGGGGTAACATCTGTGGCGTCGATTTCATATGGCTCCGTAACCCTAATGAACCAAGCAAACCATTAAAGACAAGCTGGGCCGAAGCAGCATTTGGCATAATAAAGGTGATTTCAATCAACTCAATTTTTTTTTTCTTCTTCTTTCCCTTTAACTCTTTTCTTAACAGGTCTTTCTGATTCTTGTTCATGGTGGTGTTCAGATCTAATTTCTCTGTTATTTCTCTTCTCTTCTGTTTGACACTTCTCGATTGTATATATGTATCTGATACGTGATTTTTCTTCTAATTTTCTAGTGTCAGCTCCAAAAGGTTTCACTGAAGGAGAGTGACGCGTTTGCATTTTTGAAGGCTGACAACCCTGGGGATTTTATAACGTACTCGACTTTCTGTGATGCGCTTCGCCAGGTATTGTAATTTTCAGCGTAGTTTGGTTGATGGATTCCTTAATCGATGGATTTTGAGAAGTAGATGGGCTTAGGAAAAAATAGATTGTTGAAATTCTTGGTTTGGTGGATTGTGTTTTCTGGACTGTGTTCTGAGTCCGGTGAACTAAAAGGAATCTATTGAACTGCCATTACTTCCACAACTTTTTATGTTGAAGATAAGCTGATTCAATCGCTTCCCTTCTTTCAGGTTCACTTAATCGGCCTTCCCTACGGACTGAGTTTCCAAGAGACGAAAGATCTATGGAGCCAAGCAGACATAGACGGAAATGGAATCATTGATTATGAAGAATTTAAGGTACACTCATTGAGCATCTATCTCCACTACGCCATCAAAGTTTGAATACCGAAACCTCTTTTCTTACATTCTTTTGTATCTTGATCACGCAGAAGAGGATATGGAACTCGTCGTGTTGTTCGGTTCAACGAGACGATAATTGCGCAGAAAGTGCAGAGTTCGGAAGAGAGATGGCAGAGGAAGTGATCGGTTTCACGGTGAAGGACGCAGTTCTGTTTCCACGAGAAGTGGAGAGAGGAATGTGGCCGGAGAACTACTCTCTTTCTGATCATGCTCGGCTCACAGTCATATTTTCGCCCGTCAGAATGCGGTTCAGGATGGAGGAGAGAGTAGGTTTATAACCCACAAGAGAAATTTTATGGGTCAGCAGCTGTAGGTTAAAGATGGGGAAAAAAATGGGAGAAGGGTTAAGTAGAAACTGGGAAGTTGTAAATGAGGAATTGTTCAGTATATAATGGGTTTTCTGGAAAGGATGTAAGTTGATAGAGAAACCTCGCTTGGTTTCGGGGCTCTTTTTCATTTTTTTGCCTGCTTTGTTGGGCGATTTTGTAATTAGTTGTCTGCTGTGACACCCACAGCCATATTATAAACAAAACAAAAACAAAAAAAAAAAACTCCCACATCCATGACAAGGTGAGCTGACTCAGTCAGTTATTAAGCATGGAAGGGAAGTCCACCAAATCGAAATAAAAAATTTATAAGCATCGACCCAAAAATTGATTTAGGACTAAATAAAAACAAAGGAAAATGAGGATCGAATTGGATCAAAGCATGTTCGGTTTATTTGGGTTTTGATTCGGTTTTAAATACGATTTTGATTCATTTCTTCTTCATATTTAAAATAATTCTTAGTAACCAAAACCAAATCGAAATATATATTGATCGGATTCGATCCAAATATTGATTTAGTATGATTCGGTCCGGTGTGAACCAGATCGTTGTCTACTCCTAATTTGGACCGGACGCTACAGAAATAGATATATAATGTAGTCTTGTTCTCGATCCCATGATTTTGTAAAAATTGAAAAAAATAAATAAACAGAATTGACATTTGAACCGGATTGATCTGCACTTACTGCAAAATCGATCCGATTCATAATTCTAAAATATAATGTCATTATTGAACCGCGTTTCTCCTGAATTTAGCTCGGCCAAATCAGGACCATGCGGTTGCGCACACCAAGTTCTACTAGCGATACACCATCACCGTCCAGAATCTTGTTCTCTATCATCATCAACTTGATTCCTCCTTCCTCTCGTTGCCTTCCACCAACCTATATTCACGTCGTCGCCATCATCGTTGATGCCGGAGAAGAACAACCGCTACCATAAGTCATGTTCCACTAGTTCATATCTCGTCCAGTTGGCAAGAATGATGAATTCTCACCCCTCTTCAAGTTTCAAAGCTACGTAGTTAACTAATCAACCTTGTTTTTGCGTCATAGCTTCGACGGCTAGGGTGTGGATTGGTCGACCGATGATTAAAGCAAGGAACAGAGACCAGAGATGTCCAACGGTTTGGTGCGGACCAAACCGAAATTTGTAAGGGACTTCATTGTACACACTAGATAGATGGTCCGCGCTCCGTGGCGGGTATCCTATCGTATATCTGTTAGAGTAGTCAAAAAGTAAAGGAAATACTACATTGGTGGGAGAAGGAAAGTGCAAGTTGTTTTTAAATTTGCTTTCCACTTTGGTTATTGGAAAAAGTGGTTAGTGGGATTTTGGAAAAAGTGTGGGCTATTTAATTTGACATATTAAATCGCATTTAGCACTTAGCACTTAGCGTTCGGATTTGAATTTTTGGCTAATTAATTACCGGAATTATTTTAATTAATTAATCCGGATAATTATTTGATTTTTAATTTTGTGAAACGACGTAACCCTTCTGAAGGGAACTGCCGTTTTCACTATAAAAGTCTGCAGCCGAATTTCTGTTCCAACGTTCATCTTCTTCTCCTTGTTTTTCCTTCTTCAAAAACACAAACACAGAAGTCACGAAAGATGCTGCTTTCTGACTTTGATTGGAGGGACTCCTGGGGGTGGTTTGCCTAAATCCTACCAGCAACGAAGTAGTGGGGGCAAATAAACACTCTAAGGAGAGTGATCAAATCACGCCTTCAATCATTCTCTTCCATACTGTTTCCCTGACAATATCAACATGCACATATTTTTTCAGTTTAACTACATACAACAATGGATATCATGATGTTAGTAGAAATGGATATTATGATGTTAGTCGAAACATGCTTTTCTACTATATTGATTATTAAATGTTTTGTTAATCCTTGATCAATATAGAAATAAAATAGTTTGTAATCAAGTTCACGACATGCTAAATTGGTAATTCAGAGAAAACATCATACTCAATATGATACGAATTACTCAAAATTTCTAATGAGATTCTTGGAATTAAGGTCAAGACAATGCTAAATATTCTATAAATTGAGCACAAAGCATCACTAACCCCTAGTATACATGTGCAATGGAAGCAATAAACTTATCATGGGTATCAAATAGTAAAATGAAATAGGAGTCAAACAACAAAAATTATAGTGAATTTAGGAGAATTGCATACGAAACCTACATATATAATGACATAGCTAGTTACAAATTATCCAATATAGTCGTGTTTGAACAAACCATTGATATTCTACGACAAAACATTATAGAGTCAATCTGCAGAAACATCTCATATCACATAAAGTTCTAAATTTCCTTCTACCTTAATTTCAAATATTGTTTTATCTAGCTAGTCAGAAAGGAAATAAATTAACAATTGTACGAATTATCACAGTACCGTAGGCTAGTACAAAACCTATATATCGTATGTAAGGCATGTCAATGGAACCAACCTTGATTATTGAAAGCCTAAAAAGTTATTAAAGTGGAGCTTTAGAAGCCTTGACTGATGCCATTATCCATGTAGTTTATTTGGATGGAACATATTATATTAGGCTTAGCTTCACTCACTTTGGTTAAGGAACATATTTACCATGCAATTGGTTTGTAACAATTAAACCAAACCATGAATTCTAAAATTAATGGGAGAAAGAAAAAACTATTTTAAAGTCAATGGAGGCCAGGTGGCATCCCTACTATGCAGCGTGTAGCTCATGCAAATTGAGGGAGGATCCGGTGACTAAGGGGGTGTTTAGTCACTTGACTAAGTCCCTCCCAGCTCTTAGATTTGGACACAACAATCTGACGGTTAAAAAATGGGAATAGCTATTTAATTAATGACAGGGGTAGTTTGGGTATTATAGAAAATTATGAAGTATACAAACCGGACTTACAATCAGTACAAACCATATACAAACATAAAACAGTACAAACTACAACGACAAAACATACAAACAGATTTACAAACATTACAAACATATGAGCTGTACAAACAATACAAACTAGACTGACAAACAATACAAACCATACAAAAAAGAAAAAACAACTGGGTTGACTTTGGAGGCTCCATCCCTATATAGAGGGCTATGTTTCAAAGTCAACCCGATTTTTTATTAGACATACAAACATTACGAACATGGTGGACAAAAATGACAAACTTGACCGACAATCCATACAAACTGGAAAAAAACACCCGGGTTGACTTTTGAGGCTTAATCCTATATAGAGGAGTTCCATCCAAAAGTCAACGAGGTTTTTTTTTAGACATAAAAAACATTACAAACATGGTTGACAAAAATTATAAACATGGTGCACAAAAATAACAAAACTTACAAACATTACAAAAGAAACTGACGAACATTGCAAAATAATGATGGTGAGGTTCTTAGTCCTCATATTTCTTTTTTCTTATTGAACCTCGGTTCTTATGGTTTGCACTAGGGATGGAAGTTTGGTTTGCGGGTGCGGGTAACAAAATATTGATTTTTGTGGTTAGTGGTTAACCACTACCCACAACGGTTTACCCACAAAACCCACACTACCAAATTAGTTATATTTATTTCTTCAAATACTTTGTAACCCACATTAACCACATTAGTTATATTAGTTTGTGAAACTTGGAAGACTAAGAATTAAAGTAGCTACCAAAATCAAATATGCACTTATCCTATAAAACAAAACCAAGTCAATGTGCAATGTTCATGTGAGATATTTTTATCAAATAAGCATTGTCAGTGTGGTATATGTTTATTGTATAACAAAACCAGTCCATAGATATAGTCAGATAAATTAGTCTATTTTTTTAAAGAGGGGAATAATCGATAAAGGTTAGTCTGATACCCAAAATAATCTCAATTTCTCCGCGAATTCACGAACAAAACAACATGCAACCAACTACCAACAATACAAGACTATAATCGAGAATGTAGAATAAGCAAATCATTAAAAGCGGGCGCCTCCACTTATCGAGCCACTTTTGTGTTTTGCTGTTATTGCCATCGGAGGAGCCGTGACATGCAACGATGTTTGTCTGGTAACAGGTCACTCTGCCTCCACGTTATCTTCAAATCTCTTTCCAAATCCAGCTCTTCTAAATTTACACTAACAAACCTATTGTATCAGAGATTTATAATTTATTTAACACATTATTAACTTTCTATTATGTATGTTTTTGTGTGAGAAGAAACACAACATCACTATTTAATTACCATATTATTATATTTAATGTGAAATTTTTGTGGGTATCCAGCACCAACCCGCAGCGTGTTATGATTAACCACTACGAGGCGGGTAACCACACCCACCCCAATTTCCACCCCTAGTTTGCACGCACCTAACCCAGTGACTTGAGTATAGGTCTACGCATGCATACAATGTGAAACTCAATCCCTTGCATTAAACTATTTAGTGATTATCAGAATAGTAATGAAATAATTAACAATAATTTGTATAGTATTTACCAATTTAAATATTATAATCAATTCGGTTAGTAAGTAAAATGTTCATTAATCTAATTAGTAAGTTAAATTAATCAAATTTAGTTAAGGGTTAAAATTATTAACTTGTTAGACTTAGTTTTACCGATCCATATATTTTGAGTAGTTATGTTAGTATGTAATAAGTTAATTGATACAATTTGTAAGTTTTTACTGAACTAATTTAGTTAATGGGAAAGTTTATTTAGTTTCTTCAATTGAGTAATATACCCTATATTTTTTGATAGAAAATATACCTTTTAATACACTAAACTTTGAATTTAACTAGGTAAGATTTTTTTATAACCTCCTGCTTCAAATTAGTCAATGAGCTACAATAGCCTCAGAATCATTGCATAAAAGGGGGGGAAAAAGGAGCTAGCTTATGACCGGTTTATTAAGCTCATGGATCACAACACAAATAGGAGATCTTTCTCAATGGTCAGGCTTTCTCTCGAATCTCCTTGCAAATCTCTTCGACTTTTAGTATTGATCACATTATCCGCAGGCGCTTCTGTACCAAACAGAAGGCAACCCGTCCGTCTCCACATCAAGCTGGTGGAAATTGAATCGCTCCGCCAATTGTAGACTGGCCACCATTGCTTCAGCAATCTCCAGCATCCATTGCGTCTAGCCATTCCACTGCTCTTGTAATAATATCTCATTCTTCTTTCTTCTTGTGGTTCCATAGGTGGAGCACTTCTACTATGCTATATAGCAATGGTGCTTTAACGTACAACTTAAAGTTGTACCATAACATTAAATGTATAGGTTTAGGTTGTACCATAAAGCAATTTGTATCATTATGTTATGGTACAACTTTACAAC